AGCTGTTGAGCTCACCCTTGTTTTCTGGTGGTTTTCAGGTTCTGGGAAAGGGAAGGAAGTTCAGGACTAGATTTCAGAGTCTGATCAGTATAGGTACTTTTGTACTTTTGGTTTTTGTACAGTCTTGGCTTTTCTGTTCTGTCTTTCTTTCTGTCGAAAGCCATGTACTGTTCTGTAGATGATTGTTTTGAGGAAATGAAATCGGATAGATGTTTTGTTCCGCTGCATTTGATGATACATAGTAGCTCTGTGTTTGTTAGTCTGTGTGAATTAATTATTTGGAAGATTCAGTTCCGAACCAAATTCCAAAGCTAGATCCTGGTTAGTGCAGCTCCGTCGCGATCCAGCACGGGCGGGATCCGTCTCGTCTCGGGTCGGGTCGTGACAACCCCTTCCATCACCGCGATTCAAGTTACTTGCCAGCAAGCTGGTGCAACCTTCGGATCCACCAACTTGAGGGGGGCTATTAGACATGTCATTCTCTTATTATGTATTTCAAGATTCCACGTGTAATATTTACATTGGTCACATATTTGGTATGTTATTTACTATGGCTATATATAACTTATGTACGTTCATAACATGAATATAGATACACTTTTCTGCTTTTCAATTCTTGCTCATTCTTCTTCCTGTTTCGGCGCTGCATCTTGCCAGAGCTTTCATTTTACTCTTAAATGAACTTTCAGACATATTTCTCCTATTTCTACGTATGCGTCATATAAGTCAAATTTTCATAATTATATATACATAAATTTTCACAAATATATATACAATATTAATAATTTAGGTTTTGTTTGGATCGGTTTTTTTATTGTTTCTTAAAATAATTTTTTAATACAAAAATTTTAATACTTGTACTAGAAAGCTATTTTAAGAAACAATAAAAAGTCGTCCCCATCTTTTTAGTACAAAAGATTTAATTTTTGTATTATAAAATTATTTTAAGAAGCAATAGAAAAGTCGTCCCAAACGAAGCTTAGTCTATCCTAATTTTATATTACACAGTTTCGACTCTCTTTCACAATAAATTCAAGAAAAATGACATTATTTAATATTTTATAAGACTAGCTGTGGAGAAAGAACCTTTCTAGTCTTTTATAAAATATATTTATTTATCAACCACAAAAATTCTTTATAACAACGCTTTAAAATTTAAATTAAATTTTCAGTTCAAGCCATCTTGTAAGATTTGGTTATGGCAGTTTCGATAGTTTAAGTATTTAGTTTTGTTTTTAATTTTGATATCATTTTCAATATATATATATAGTCGTATTTAGATAAATGAGTTATTTTAAATCTTACACAGATATAGTCATTTTAATTAAATAAAAAAATATACAACTTAAATAATTTAAAATTTTTAAAAAATTAATCTATTTGAGAACATAAGAGTAGTGTTAATTTATTAAATATGATTTTATATTTTAAATAGGGGTGTCAATTATTGACTCGACCACCCGTTCTAGAAAATTCAAGTTTAGGTCGATCTGTTTAACAAACGGGTTGGGTTCGTGTTCTAATTTTTGACCCGTTTGAAAAATCGGATTGGATCAGAGTCAACCCGCTAATTCGATTTAACCTGAATTGACCCGAGTGCAGTCCCTCAAGCTCTCCTCCACTCCCGCACAGCGGTCTCAACCTGGTCCCAATTCACACAACCACGATACCGCAATCATGTTCCACACTCAGGTGCAACACATTCACCCTCGCCCTCGCCCTCGCTATATGACCAGCTCTTTATTTTTAATATTTTATATGAACAACTGAGCAATGATAAGCACTCCGTGGTCTTTTAATATAATAAATTGTAGCACATAAAGTCCTTTTTGCCCTCCAAAAGAGTTGTATGTAGTAGTATAAATAGCACCCTACGTTAGAAGAATTCAACCAGAAGAAGCCATAGAATTATCAAGGTATAAATTTATTTCATCAATCCTCTCAACACTTACGCTTGCTCTAAATTAATGATTAGTTTCTAACTTGTCCGCAGGGAGTTCAGTGCTTGTATTTTTTATGGGTGCGGTTGTTCAAATTCCAGCAAATTCCTTCACCTTTGTGTGGGAAAAAGATTGGAAGACAACACCTGATGGGTTCAGTATCTAGTACATGTTTAAGATTTATTTGGATCAACTATAATATTTTATAAAATTTATTTTTAAAAATGTTATGAAAAAAATAACTTCATTATTATAGTTGCTGGAAGTAACTTTTCATTAAAAAAATTTTAAAAAATAACAAGAATATATTTATCAAATAACATTATTATTACTGGTTGAAAAGTAAAAACAAAGAAGCTCTAAAACTGTCCTAAAATGATAAATTATTACGTGCGGAGACCAGACAAAGAGAATCGTCCAGCTTGTCTCTGTAAACACTAAACTACGCTTCTACACTGTGCTTTTACTGTTTATAGAGACAAAATCGAACCATTTTCCGATCTCTCCCTAAATAGACCTTTATATATCATATTTTAAACCTTTTATCAGTTTATTTTATTTGATATATATATATATATATATTTTTTTTTTCAGCACAAAGGAATTTGTGGGAGATGATGACACCTTCTTTGCCGGCAGAAGTGCCACTGTGGAGGAACTGGGCCTAACTCCCGAAAAATACTACAAATTTGCCATCCGTGTAAAGAACACTGGTGATAATCCTGTAGAGGTTTATCTCCGTGTAAAGACAAAGGAAACTCACTTACCTCCCGCACCCATTCCTGTCTCCATTAAGCCATCCGATGTGATTCAAACTATTCCAATCGGCGATGAACTCATCAACGTTGGAGGGGCATCTGACTATGTTAAATTCGGGATCCTCGGTAACCCTTCTGTCAAACCTACTAAAGGGTTTTTCATCTCTGAGGTCTGTGCTACAGAAGCATAAAATCATACAATATAAAAATAAAGAAAGATCTTCAACTTGTTTGTGGATCTTTCCTGCAATAAGAATATGTATGGTTATGTTGTCTATGATATTTGTGTGAGCATATCCGGCACTCTTCTCATTAGAGAGAGTGGTCTCAGTTATGTGTTAGGATGCTTCTATCTATCTTTGTGATCATGTTGTGATGTGTGATGATCTTAATTATAAATAAAGTTTATGTTTTATTAATCTGAGAAGAGTTTATTAACATGGTATATATGCATTCTTAGGAGCGGATTTACCCCCCTAAAAAAGTTCTTTATTATATATATCTTTAGGTAATTTGTTCATCTCCATTTATTTTATAATCTTTATTACAAGAATTTTAGGCAATTGCCTCCCCCCCACACACCGCAACGCAAAAAAGTTTAGTCTTTAGACAATTGCCTCTAATATAATTAAACACTTTATGTAGATGTGTTATTGTTAGGGAACGATGAATCAAATACAAAGAAAATTTGTAAAAAAATACAAAAAATATCCATACAATCAAAATTTGTTTTGGGGGCAGCGCCCCCGAAAACCCCATAAGAGCGCTGGCTCTTGACCCAACGACCTGACCAGTCAGGTCGAATCCCGTCAGGGGGTGCTGCCCACTTGGACCCCCGACATATCTGCATAGCGTACAACGATCACATATATGAACAAATAGGAGTCGGACCAATTATTTATAAGCTCCCCTCGAATTGGGGATTTCATATGAAAGAATATGTAAAGAGATTCAGTAGAGTAGCATTCACAAAGCTTATATCAACTCGTATAAAAAACATATGAGAAGTCATATCCTAAACCTTTATTGCAAAATGAACACAATTAGATCAATAAAGAATAATAACTTCTTAAAGATTTGAGTGAAAATTTGTTATAAATAGCTAAAGGAAAAGCTAGAGTGATGATGAATACTTTGGAGCTTTCACCAGCTTTACTTTAAGAGATCTGATAATCTAAGCTAGCATTTTCTTAAATTTTTCTTTAGTTGTTTTTCTTATGAACCCTTAAGAATATAGTTATTTATTATGTTAAAAATATGCTTAGTTAGCATGTGAATAATGCTTAGTTTACCCTTAAGCTTAACTAGATTTCACACTTAGCAAATCATTCAAAATTAACAAATTCTGGCATATCAAATTATATTATTCACATCATACTATCTAATTATTGCATTGTATGATTTATATCAGAATGTACCCTAAACTCTAAAATTGTGAAAGAACTACGTCTAACACCTAAAAAGAAATATAAATTTACCTTCATAGTAAATTGCACTAGTCAAATTCCAATTGTAGGTTATCTCGGTTTCAAGGCTGTTGAATTTGTTAAACCCGAACCTAAAATGATTTGGGGTGGCCCTTCTCCTCAAAATATTGGTATCGACGAGTACATCCCAAGATTACGCTGCGACCTGCCAGTCAACGGAAGCAATTCCTTCCAGCGATCTCATGCTCGAATCTTCTAATCCGTCCTAAAATAAAAACAAGTACATCCGACGATATTAGATTCTTCATGCTCGGTAACATTCTTGCCATGAAAGCAGAAGGGTTCTTTATTTATTTTTGCAATATTTTATGGAAATGTTCTTGAAAAATACAAGGACAAATTTGCTCTTGGCTCACTCTCCCAACCCTTATAAACTAAGGGGCTAAGGCGTTGGTTGGTAGGACAAACCATATATTGACAATATTGGTAGATTTATGTAGTATATAGAATGTTCAGAGTTGCAACTGATGGCTAAAGAACAACAATAACGGACATAGGAACTGAAGGCAAAGGACAAGCAGTACAATCGAGTGATGATTTCCTGAGGGTATATAAGCTCGTTCTCAAAATGGCGTATAAAGAAACCAATATGAAGTATTGTTGAAAACTTCGGAACATTAAATGAATAATCAAATGTTGCTCAGTTTTCGCCTGCTTATAGTCAAATATTGATTCAGTAAGCTCGAGCTCAATTCAAGCACGACTGAAGCTCTAAGCTTGAGCTTGAACTTAGCTAGTACATTAAAGCACCTGCAGATTATACTTGCTTAGAAGAAACACAAAGGAAAAGTAAGAACAGAGTATTAGCTCTCGACAGTATGCTCATTGTTTTTATTTCAGCTTAGAGAAAAGCTACAGTGGTAATGTGCATATATAAGATGAGAAAATAATTCTAGAAACTGGCGAAGCTGTTAGTAGCAGTAGGTAGTGGAACTGCATATGTGTGTAAACCAATCAAATGAAGCCACGAAGGTGTCGGAGCCAAATAAACTTGATGTGCTGCGTTGCAGCTGAACTGGGTTGTTGACAGCCCCCCTCAAATTGAATGTTCAGCGGCTGGACAGTTAATTTGGTACGAAGGATAGAGAACCTGGTGGCGGAGAGAGCTTTGGTGAAGATGTCGGCGAGCTGATCAACGGAGCTGATGTGAAAAACGTCGATCTCTTTGCTCTTGATGTGGTCGCTGGTAAAATGGTAATCAATCTCTATATGCTTGATCCTAGCGTGGAATACCGGTTGTTGGCAAGGGCGAGAGCCGAGATATTATCACAGTGAATCGGGGTTGGTTGAGATTGAGGTATGAGGAAATCAGCGGCGAGGCGATGGAGCCAAATGACGTCGGATGTGGCGAATGAGAGTGATCTGTATTCGGCTTCTGTAGATGATTTTGCCACTGTAACTTGCTTCTTCACATGCCAAGAAATGAGATTAGGACCAAGGAATGTACAAAAGCCTGTGACTGATTTCCGATCTGTGGAATCCGCCGCCCAATCAGCGTCGGTGTAGGTATGAAGACTGAGATCTCCCTTGCGGATTGACAAGCCATAATGAATTGTCCCTTTAATGTAATGGAGGAGACATTTGAGAAGCTGGAAATGATGGACGGAGGGATTGTGCAAATGCTGACATATGCAGTTGGTTGCAAAAGTAATGTCGGGCCAGGTAATAGTAAGATATTGAAGAGAATCAGCCAAGCGACAGTAGAGGGTGGGATCGGGATATGACGTATCGGGATCTGGTGGCTTGCTAGTTTTGAGGGAAATGGGTGTAATGGTTGGTTTACAGGAAGTGAAGCCAGCCGATTCTAAGATGGCATTGGCGTAGTGGAACTGCTGCAAGAAGATCACGGTAGTAGTGTAATGAACCTGAATACCAAGGAACATGGAAAGAGGCCCAAGTTGTTGTAGCGAGAACTGATTTTGAAGTTGCGACAGCAGGTGTTCGATCATGTCTGGGTTATTCCCTGTAATTAATATGTCATCGACATATATCGGGAAATAGATCTGGATGTCTTTTTTGATGAAGCGCAGCAATGATGGGTCGGACCTGCTAAATGAGAAGCCAACATTTGTTAAAAGAGATGTCAGCTTTTGAAACCATTGGCGGGATGACTGTTTGAGGTCATAGATGGCCTTGTGTAGACGGCAAACATGATCAAGGTGTTGCGGGTTGGTGAAACCTTGAGGTTGCTGCATATATACTTCTTCTTGGAGGTCGCCATGTAAGAAGGCATTGGCAATGTCGAATTGAAGGATTTTCCAATTGTTGTGGAGGGCGACGGAAAGAAGGACACGGATGGTGGGGAGCTTGGCCACCGGGTTGAAAGTATCTTTGTAATTAATGCCGAATTGTTGTGAGTAACCATGTGCAACGAGTCTAGCCTTGTGACGGGGAATTGTAATATCAGTTCTGCTCCAAGTTCGTCCGGGACGAAGTTGGATCGTCCAGGACGATCAGTTCAGGTTTGTTCAGAATAGTGAAAATTGGGCAGTTCGTCCGGGACGAAATGTGGGATCGTCTGGACGAAAATTTTCCAGAGCCCAAGTCGTCCTGAGACGATAATTAATTTCGTCTGGACGAGAATTTTCCAGAGCCCAGATCGTACCGGGACGAAGTGCGATCGTCCAGGACGATCTGAGTATTTTAAAGAGGAAATGAGATATTTTGAAGAGAGAGAAAAAAAATAAAATATCAGAAATTCCATCCGTGAGAAAAGGAACAGTGATTTCGGAAGCCGCGGTTCCGTTTTCGTGCGTCGAGACTGTTGAGGTTTTGCTGTACGCACGTAAGCAGCACAATCCGGACTTTCTAATTTCTAGAACGTCGGCTGTTGCTATTTTGTCCGAAGTCGTTTCGCTTAGCGATTTTTCGTCCGTATTTCCGACTGGTTTAGTTTTAACCACGTAACTATCTGTATCGTGGTTTGACGGTGCCGGGCAGTGTGCACATTTTTGAATAATTTGGAGATTTTTGTCCGATCATTTTATTTTGACGACTTTTTATTCGTCTGTATTTTAATCTGCGGATAGTAAAGCTGTGGCCATAGAATAAATTTTCTGAAATTTTGTTATTATATCTGGCAAATTGTGTGAATTGATTATTCAGAAAAAAATGTTAAATCCGCATTACTGCCCTTGGCTGCCCATTTTTGCTGATTCCGCATTTTCGATTTGACAGCCTGCAGCTTTGATTCTTATATGCTATTAAGAACTATAGGAATTCTGCTGAAGTTTCTGCTGAAGTCTACTAGTCTGAATTTCTATATATGTTTATTGGCCTCATAAGCAAAGCATTACGTATTCTGGTATAAGCACATCTTCCTGGCCGGTTAGCACAAAATCGGCGAGGGCACGTCACCGACAATTCTTGTGCGTATCACACAAAAATGCAGCCTTATAAGGAGCAGGTGTTATATGCACAAGGAGATATAAGGGAAATTATATATCTGAGGAAAGCATTTTCGAACTATATATATCTGATTTTTGTACTCTGAGGGATTTAATCTGATCGCGTTTCTGTAAGCTGCTATCAGCTATGATGTGATATTATAATGACTTTCGTTTATTCTGAGTTGATTTCTGATACTATTCTGCACACGATTCCTCTCCTGCTTATCATATTATTTGACTTCGTCTTCCGTATTGTTTGATTTGTACGGAGTGTCTCCTTCGTTGGTTGATTCTAGATTTTTGCTTGATTGCAGGTATTGTATCGCTCTCGAGCTGGTTCGAGCTCACCTGCTTTTCTGACGTGCGTTTCTTCAGCTCTGGAAACGGAAGAGTCCAGGACTAGACTTCAGAGTCTGATCTCTTATAGTATCCTTCGTACTTTTTATTGTTTACAGTTCTGGCATCTTCTGCTTTACTTCTGTCAGCCTACCTCGTATTTGTAGCATGATTTGTTTTGACGCGCAAAATAAAGAAAAAATATAG